CCTCTGCATTTTCCCTTCTCTTTGAGGAATTGGGATTTTTGACTCTGGTGCATGTAAGGCAGAATCTTCTTGACACCAGTATGTGGATTTTTACTACCACCGTGAGTCTAAAAGGACCACAGGTTTTTCTGCAGCTATTTTCTAGCATTTGCCAGCCCCTGTGCCTGGACTGATTTGAATACTTTGTTTTTCTCCCTGTGCCATTTTCCCTCCCATCTTTTTCCTGCCTTCCAGCACCCTTGGATGAATGGATTTTGTATTTCTAGCTGTTGTATTTTGTGGATTTGTTATTTTTGTTGTTTTTCTGTGAAGCACACACATTGGATGTGGGAGATAGAGGAGTTACCGCAGTTGCTCCTTAACACTCCCTTTATAGCCATCACTGTCATGTTTCTTGTAACTCAGGTTAGGTTTTGGTCTCTCTTGCTCTACTGCAAAAAAAAAAAGGAGGAGAAAAAAAGAGCCTGAAGAGATGGGACAAAAGGAAACACCTTATAGCCAGATCATCTGGTTTTGAGGAGTAATTTTCTTTCTTCCCCTTGAAGGGGAAAAAGATTTTTTCACTGGTACATTTAAAGTTCCCCAACAATGGGGAGGTACCAATTCTGGACAAGTGCCACTGCAATATAGAATGCTTAGAGAACCTGAACTTTTCAACTCTGGAAGATGGAAACTTGCTGTTGGCCACTGCCAGGTATGACTGGTATTTCAAAGGAATATCGGGTGCTACAAATAGGAACTGAAAGGGTAAACTTATTAAACCCATTAAACCTGTGATTGGTGATGTTTTCCTGTCATTTTAAGAGACTAATGTGGGGGGCAGATGTCAAAAACTTGTACAATTTTAAAATGTCACAATTAAATGTGAGCTGATTTCCCATAAAAAAAAAATAAAAAATAAAGTGCTGATATATGCTACAACATGCGGATCCTCCAAATAGTGCTTAGTGAAAAATGCCACACACATAAGGTCATATCATATAACTTTATGGTTCCATTCTAGGAAATATCCTGATTACACAAATCCATGAGACAGAAAGCAGCTGGGGATGCCAGGGGCTGTGGGGATGGGGAAATGAGAAACTGTTCCATGGGCATAGCATTTTAAGTTTTGTGAGATGAAAAGAATTCTGGAGATTGAACAGAAATGTGTATGTGTATGTATTAACACTACTAAACTATACACTGAAAAATAGTTAAGATGGCAAATTTCATGATGTAATCATAATTTTAAAATCCCATGTATTGATACTAGATCAGTGTTAGTTCAACCCTTGTTTTCAGATGGGAAAACTGAGGCCCAGAAAAGCTACAGCAAAGCTGAAAGAAGAAGGCAAGGCTCCTACTCCCCATATACTGCTATTTCTACTTAAACCTTTCTGCTAGCCTAGCATCTGAGGCTCTCAAACTGCAACACAGTGGTGGGGTGGGGGAGAACAAACAAATGCTTCAAGCTTAAAAACAAAAAAGCTAACTGGGCATGGTGGCACAGTAACCGTAGCACTTGGGAGGCTAAGGCAGGAGGTCTGCAAGTTCAAGGCCTGAGCTACTAAGAGTTCCAGGCCAGCCTGAGCTACAGTACCAAACAGCTAGCCAAGAACTTAGATAATGTGGAATTAAAGAATAAATATGCAGCACAGGACGGAGAAGGGGGATGAGGAATAACTGCTTAATGGGTATAGTGTTCTTCTGTACTAATAAAAAATATTTAGGAACTTGATAGGTGTGTTAGCAAAACAACATTGTGAATGTACTAAATACCAGTGTGATCTGTATGCCTTAAAATGGTTATTTTTATGTTACTCAAATTTTACCTCAGTTTAAAAAATAAGTCTAAATTCCACTTCTGATTCATATTTCCAACCCGTACCTTCCTATGTTTCAGTTATGGGTTTTGTATTTGTTCCAATTTAAGTGTATATGTGAAAGGTAGACTAGAAAGGCCCCAAAGCACGCATTTTGGAACTCATTCTCACTCTGTTCACATAATGCGCCTCTCCAAATGTCTCCAGTGTTTCTTGTTACTCTGTACACATTCTTCCAGATGTTAATATGGTTTTAATCTATTTGTTTAGAAATGATCAACATGAATCATTGCTTTTCCTAGAAGGATGATTAAATTTAAATGTATCTTCTCACTTTATTTCATTCTCTTTTAAATACAGTAGACACTTTGTATCTAAGGGCATATGGTTCCATTGAAAGCACCATTAAGGAAAAAACCATGAATGCTTAGGATGTATTGAGTTTAGTATCTGAAATTACTCAAATTTATCTATACCATACATACAGTAGGTCTGAGCATCCGTAACTCAAAACTACATTACTGTTCTAAAAATTACTGTTTTACACATTACTACTACTCACCAAAAACTAGATGTTATTTCATACTGTCTCAAATATTGTGGATGCTTCATTTTCCCCATAATGCTGCCCAACTTCTGCTAAAGAGATGCCTTTCCACAGACCTAAAGTTTTCACCCTATCACTTCAATTAAGAACATTAGGTGCCTTAGAAAGTTTACCGTAACTTTTACCTTGCTTTTTTGGGTACCATTTACTTTTTGTGTGGTATACTTTTCTCAAAATTAAGGACAGGGAAACATCAGATCACACAATTTAAACATAACAGATTCTTATTCTTTTTTTGGGGGGATAGGGTGTGGTACTGTAGTTTGAACTTTGGACTATGATCTTGCTAGGCAGGTGTTCTACTGCTTCAGCCACACCCATAGCCCCTAAACACAATTGAGAGTGCTTCACAGTATCAACTGAGCCAAGGAATGCATATTCAGGAATTTTTTATTTTGGTTTTGAAATTTTTTAATTTTTTGTTTATATTTATATTTTGACTGGTCAAAATCATGTGTAATAATAAACTCACACATAAGACAAGAATTTCTCTTTTTCTGCTTTCTGTCATATTCTTATTTCTTCATAGTTATTCTTCTCATTTTATTCTGCTGTTTAATCTAACAAATGAATTTTTGTTGTTTCTGGCAGTATTGGGATTTGAACTCAGGGCCTCACACTTGGTAGGCAGGCTCTCTACCACTTGAGCCCCTTACCCAATGAATTTTTACTTTTAATGGTCTGTTCTTTATTGTTTTTGTTTTTGTTTTTGTACTGGGGTTTGAATTCAGGGCTTTGCTCCTGCTAGGCAGGCACTCACCACTTGAGCCACCCCACCAATCCTCAATGAATTTGTTCTAATTCCTAGAAGTTCTTGACATCTTTTTTCAATTATGCCTGTCCCTTTTTTGGGGATGGAATCCTATTCATTCCTATGGCTTCTATTACTTTTTTTTTTTCTTCATATACTACTACATATTCACTCACATCTTCATAAATACTTATCATGTAATCACTTTTAGACTGGTCCATAGTATATTTAATTACTGCATTATTTTCTGGTTGTGTATTTTCATCTTTATTGGTATGATTTATAATTTAATTGTGAAGTCATTTTCTTTGGAAAACTTTTGTCCACAGACAAGTGTGACAACAAACAGTGAAGATGTCACCAGGAGTTTCCTGAGTTCTGGGTCAATTATGATATATAATCCTTGGCTTGGGTTTCTTGCACCAACCAAGTAGTAGACATTTCTATTATAGAGGCATCAACATATAAAATACAAAATAATACAAACACCAGTAGAGAGGCATATGTTATATTCCGCATTTTAGTTTACTCCTAGAGGTCAGCCATTTCCACAGGGACTTCATTTCCTATGTTATCCAAAATATCTTAACATATTTTTTGGGGGTATGTGGTATAGGGCCTCATCCTTGCTAGGTAGGCACTTACCACTTGAGCCATGCTCTCAGCTCTTTTTAGTTAATTATTTTTCAGATAAGGTCTCATTTTTGCCTGGTGCCAGGATCCTCCTACCTCTGCCTCTCAGGTAGCTCAGATTACAGGTCTCACTAACCTTTTGCCTGGTGCCAGCATCCTCCTATCTCTGCCTCCCAAGTAGCTGGGATCACAGGTTCAATATAGTTCTTTAAACAAGCAAACCATTATAGCGTACTGAGGCATGCCACTGGACTGTACTCCCCAGTACTATATCTGAAACTTGATAAATACTTCAATGATTTGGATACCTAGTTTCAGATACAATACTGGGGAGTATAGTCCAGTGGAAGAAATAGGTATGGAAATAACAAGAACCCTGGATGTCTAGGAAAAGGGTGTTGTAATAAGCAAAGCTGGACAAGTTGGGTAGAGAAATTAGGATTTGGAGAGAAATAGTCTGTTGGCTTTTCAGTATATTTGTCTGGAGTATGTAATGACACATGTGAGTGACTATAAGCAGGAGATACAGACTAGTTTGTTTCAAAGACAGTATTAACTTAAAAGTAAGAGAATAAATATAGTAACAATTCCTAAAAATCCAATTCCTCCACAATGGCAAACTTATACCATATAATTTTACAGGCTCCTCTCTGAGTATAAACAGACACTTAAGAAATCTGTGATTCCACAGGCATACTTCAACTCTTACCTAAAGTTCTTTACAATAGAAAAAACAAGCAATTTCTCCATGTTAGCTGTTTTCCTGAAAGGAATGGTATGTCTAGCTATTTGGGGATACAAATTCCTTAGTGATAATCATCACAGTAGAATTTGCAGCTGAGATAATAGCTACACAGATGTAGCAAAAAGCAATACAAAGTGCTAAGACAACTTGGTAACATTTTTCAATAAACATTAATCTCTTTTTAACCACTAGAGGGCTACCTTGACATTTGATTTCAGGTCTCTTAGCCACTACATTTTAGGAATAACAATCAGTATGACTTAAAATAACTAGGTTTATTCTGCAATAACTTTTCATTTCAATAGTTGCCAATGAATAATTATATAATCACAATGCACCAGAGGGCGCTATGGGCAGGAAAACATGTTAGTATAACAGTGACTGGAAGAATTTTCCCTTAGTAGGCTCATGGGCCTGAAATAAATTCTTAATCAGCTTTTATAATGTTAATGGACTTACGTTTTAAGTGTTCCAGATGTCATAAGTTCAGTTACCAAAACGATGCACTTCTTTCCTTTTACTGTAGATTCCCAGGAGTCATAGAATCGAACAATATTGGGATGCTGAAGACCCTTTAGCATCTCAGCCTCTTCTTTAAATCTCTGCCTTTCAGACTTTGTTAACTTTCGATCCTAAAATGAAAAACAGCAACAGAATGTGCCTTAAAATGATAAAACACAGTCACATGGTTAAATTAAGATTTTAACTATGAGCCAAGTACGGTGACAGATGTCTGTAATTCCAGTACAAGAGGATGAGGCAAGAGAAGTTTGAGATCCTGTCTCAAAAATAAAACACATTAAGCCTGTGTAAGTAAGTATCATGATCAATAAAATGAAACAGAACACTAAAGTCACTAAGTCATTATCCTATCTTAGAGTGAGAACAGGTTAATGTGGTTTTTTTTTTTTTGGGGGGGGTGATGTGAGACAATACTGGGGTTTGAATTCAAGGCCTTCACTTGGTAGGCAGGCACTGCACCACTTGAACCATACCACCAGCCCTTCATGCTTTAGTTATTTTTCAAATAGGACCTCTAGTTTATGCCTGGGCGAGCCTGGATGGAGGTCCTATTTTGGCTTCCTGTGCAGCTGGGATGACAGACAAGCACCACTATCCCCGGCTTTTATTGGTTGAGATGGAGTCTTGCTAAATTTTTCCACGGATTGGCCTTGAACTTCTATTCCCCTGATCTCTGCCTTCCCTGTAGCTAGGATTATAGGTGAGAACCACCATACCTAACCCAGAGTTTTATGAACATATAGCACTGCGCCATAGGAATGTAAACATTAAGTAATCTAACTGGCATGTTTTCACATGTTTTAAGTGCTTGACACTTTATAGGAGTTAATTTACTTATCTGAAAGCATTCAACTTTTTTTTTTTCTTCTCTGACAACATCCTATACACATGAACTGTATTGTTCTATGAATTACAATTCAAACTATCTCTGTTCAAGCATGGAACACATACTTTAAATATTCTAGGCATAAAATAATGTCTGTCATATTTTAAATGATTAACATTATACATCTAACTTACATAACTATATAAGCCCCCTATATAACTAGATTGTTCTCCTGATTCCTACTCCTTCTCCTTGAATAACCACTACTCTGAATTTAAATATATCATAACCATATGGTTTATACTATGTAAGAAATATGTGAATATCTAACAATTTATATAATCACACAATAAAGAATCCTTAAGGTCTAATTTGTTGCTACTCAAACACTGAAATAATGTTGTACTGTCAGTCTTCTTGGGTATGTATATGTAATTGTCCAGAGGATACCACTTCTTAATGTAAGGTCCACAAAATTAAGACAGACTTATAAGCTTGTGTGAAAGTAAGTCTTTATTTTTCATTAATACTGAATTAAAATTTAACATTTCCTTTAATAATAGATGTAAACAACATTGCCTGTGATTTTTGTTACTGAGACCCAAATATTTTCATATCATATTAACAAATGGTTAGAGATTTCAAAATATCATTTGCATTACTCATTACTTTGAAGTTATGGTAGCTACTAGAATTTCTGCTAGTTTTTTAACATGCATTAGTGATGCATACTATGTCATACTTAAAAATAAATTTTGGTAACTAATTCAACACAATTAGTTTCTTTTGTACTCCTGTGTATGCATATTGAAATCCTAACCACCAAGATCATGGTATTTGGAAGTGGGGCCTTTAGGTTGTGATTAGTGAGCCTTATAAAAGGGGTTGAGGGAGTCAGTTATTCCCTTCTACCATGTAAAGATGGAGCAAGAGGCATCATCTATGAAATAGAGAACAAGTTTTCACCAGATATCAAACCTGCTAGTGCCTTGACCTTGAATCCCCCCTTCCTCAGAACTGTGAGAAATCAATTTCTCCCTCTCTCTTTGGTGTTACTGAGGTTTGAACTCAGTTCCTCATGCTTGCTAGGCAAGCACTATACTACTTGAGCCAGTTCAAAAAATCAACTTCTATCATTTATATATTAACCCCATCTAAGGTATCTTATTATACAGCCTGAACAGACTACGACACCTTCCAGCTAGTAAAAGTACATAGATGAAGATTACATTGTTCAGTATGCTCAGCAGCACCTGGCAGCAGACATTAACTTTTTTATTTCTTTATTTGGCCTATTTGTTGTGTGTAAAACCATATCCTGCTGCTGTAGAATCAATGTGTTTGAACACTTTCTCTTTTTTTTTCTTCTGTCAGGGTCAGCCCAGATTGGCCTTGAACTCTTGACCCTCCTGCCTTGGTCTCCCAAATGCTGGAATTACAGCAGTGCACCATCACTGCCTAACCTATCTATGCTTTTTAAAAACCAAAACTTGCAAGTACTTGTCCTCAAGTCAGGAAAATTCTTGACTATTGTCTCTCTGAATACTACCTCCTCCCATCTTTCATTTTCTTCTTTGTAAAATTTTGTGTGGGGGAGTGGGAACACGAGACCTCACTCTACTTACTATTATTTAACTTCTCTCTCATTTTCCATTTCTTTCTCTTTGCCACTTCCTGTTCAGTGTTCTCAGTTCTACCTTCTTGTTCACCAGTTTTTTCAGTTATTACACCTAGCCTGTTTATTACCTCTTTTTATTATTATTAACTGAACGTTAAGACTTAAGGGAGGCAAAGATGCATAAGACATGTGACAGGGTCTCAGTCTCTGCTCCAGAAATAACGGAAAGATGTACATCAACCAGATACTTCTAAATGACCATACAAGTCTGGGAGGGCTGACACCTAGATAAGAGCGTCATATATTTGTATACCTATAATAAAAATAAAACAGAGTCAAATCAGACATGGTAGCACACACCTGTACTCCTAAGTTGGGAAGACAGAGTTTGAGGTCAGTCTGGGATACATGGTAAGAACTTATTTGGGAAAAAACAAAAACAAAACCCAACAGCAACAACAACCAAAAACTCTACAGGGTCAAATAGTCTGTCTGCAAAATACCCAATGAGAAATTTGATAAAATGAGCTATGGTCACCACTCCTGTTCCCTACTCTTCCCCACTTGCATCAAAGACAAAGCAGGACATGATGTTGCATGCCTCTAATCCCATTACTAAGGAATAGCATCTGAGTGTTCAGTTTTTAGTCCTTGCAACTCTTAAAATATACTTACTCTTGAGGAGGAAGGTAGTGGGAAATGGGAGTCTCACTAAGTTACTATGTTTTGAGGCTGGCCTCAAAATCCTCCAGCCTCAACCTCCTGAGAGTAGCAGGACTACAGATGAGTGCCATGGCACTCAGTTTAAAAAAATGTACTTACTTTAGAGGCTCAATTAACTACCACTTTATCTGAGGTACCAGGGATCTAATTTTGCCAAAGTTTTGGCTGCCGACATTTAATTCATGGTAGTTTTCTTCATGTGATTTACAAAACTGGATGAGGTTGTTTAAGCTATGATTTGTCTGTTAGAATCTCATATATCCTCAGTCGTAGGTAATCACTGTAGAAAGGCTCTGAGCTCACTTGTGTTTAGTGCTCTAGGGATATTGTTAGGACTAGCAATGACTCCATGCAATGAGTTTAAATTTGATTTCCATACGTGTGACTGCATATTCTTGGTTATGAATTCTTGGAGAACTTTTTTCAGTTGACTTGGAAGTTTCTCTTTTCCCGGTCTCAAAAACTGATTTTCTCTAGGTTTTTGTTTGATTAAAGTTATAACTCTTCAAGAAAACTGACTTTATTAGGTCTTAGCTCCAATTCCTGCTTAGGTTTGAGATTTCATGTATCTTCAGACAGATAGTAAAACCAAGGTTTAGTCAACACAATGGGCAACTGACACAGAAACACACTAGTGTCCACTCATACTTTTCCCACTCTGGTTTTTAGTTTCTTCTTAAGTTTTTGGTCTTTAGAGATTACCCTTACATTATTACAAGCTCAGCTAAGAATTTGGAATAATGATTTTTGTTGTTTTAATAAAAAGTTTCCAAATATTTGGTGTTTTGTATCTTTTCCCATATAGCTTTTAAATAAAAAGGTACTTCATTTTTTCCTTGCTTTTTTTTGGGGGGGGGGTGGTACAGTATTAAGGTTTGAATCCAGGGCCTCATTCTTTTCTTTTTTTTTTTTTTGCCCTTATTTATTTATCCATTCATTCATTCATTCTTTTATTCATATGTACATACAATGTTCGGGTCATTTCTCCCCCCTTCCCCCACCCCCTCCCTCTCTCCCCCTACCCCCTCGCTACCAGGTGGAAACTATTTTGCCCTTATCTCTAATTTTGTTGAAGAGAGAGTATAAGCAATAATAGGAAGGACCAAGTTCCTGGTTCCCTTCTCCTATTGGCCTCTGTCGCTTTAAAGTATCTGCATTAGTTTCTCTGCATTGAGGGCAACAAATGCTATACAGTTTTTTGGGTGTCTTACCTATCCTCATACCTCCCTTTATCATGTGATCAAAGTCCAATCTCAGGGCCTCATTCTTGCTAGGCAGGCACTCTACAAGTTGAGCCACACCTCCAGCCTTTTTTGCTCTGGCTATTTTGGACACCCAGGCCAACCTGGACCATGATCCTCTTCTCCTATTTTACATTTTGTGCACAGCTGGGATGACAAAGTGTAGCACCCACTGAGGTAGGTCTCACAAGCTTTTTTGTCTAGGGATTACAACCTCTGTATCTCAGTCTCCCAAGTAGTTAGAACTGGTTACAGGCAAGAGCCACCAGTACCCAGCTCCCTCCCTTTCTGTAAAGTTTTACTATGACTTACAAAGTACTTGGGGCTTCATATTTTAATTATCCTTTTCATCTGTGCTCCTTAAGGGACTCCTCTTTCAGCCAGTTCTCCCTACCTCCTAACCCAGGATCTTTCCAGACCTCTTTTGACTTCCCAATACACATTAAAAGCAGCAGCCCCCTAATAGTTTCCAGGACAGGGCAACCTTCTTTCTGATACATTACTTGGAAGAAAAGGGGAAATTGGCAACTTGAACATGTCTCTTGAACTAACAATGGGGTAACAGTCAGCATTCCAAAGGATTCTCTGCTAGTAAACATTCTAAATAACTTGGATAAACTTAAATTGAGTAGACTAAAAAGGAAAAAGCTTATTTTCTTTTGAAATGTGGCCTGGTCACAATAATAACTGGGAGACCAGAAA